GATGATTGTTTCCACACCATATCACAAAGCGGTCTACCAGTTCCCTGTACTCAGCTTCTTGTCCATCTCTGATACACCCGACTACTGCAGAGTCATCAGAATATTTCTGCAGATGACAGGAGTCTGTTTTGTACTGGAAATCTGAGGTGTACAGAGTGAAAAGGAATGGTGAGAGTATAGTTCCCTGTGGTGCTCCTGAGCTACTGACCACCTGGTTAGACACACAACCCTTCAGTCTCACAAACTGTGGTCTGTCCGTCAGGTAGTCTTTGATCCAGGCGATTGTTGAGGCCTCCACCTGAGTCTTCTGGAGTTTCTGACAAAGCAAATCAGGCTGGATTGTGTTAAATGCACTGGAGAAATCAAAGAACATGACTCTCACAGTGCTGTCTGCCTTTTCTAGATGACAGTGAGTTTGCTGAAGCAGGTGTATGATGGCATCTTCAACTCCAAGTCCACGCTGATAAGCAAACAGCAGTGGGTCCTGATATGTGCTTGTTTGTCTAGTCAGGTGGGTCAGCAGAAGTCTCTCTAGGACCTTCATGATGTGGGATGTCAGGGCAACAGGTCTATAGTCATTGAGGACTGATGGGTGCGTTTTCTTTGGCACTGGAACAAGACAGGATGTTTTCCACAACACTGGAACCTTCTCCTGGGTCAGGCTAAGTTTGAAGAGGTGCTGCAAAACCCCACAGAGCTGCTCTGCACAGACCTTCAGGACTCTGGGACTGACACCATCTGGACCTGCAGCTTTATTCCGGTTCAGTCTCTCCAGCTTCTTCCTCACCTGACTTCTGGAGACGCAGAGGGGGGAGGCAAAGGAGGTATCAGCATCTTCTGATTTAGTTGAAGACCAATATGTAGAAGAATGGTCCATGACTGTGGTGGTAGGTACAATATTTGAGGTGTGACAGGACAGCCTTGGGGCAATGGAGGGTGGTATGTATGTTTGGCTGTGGGCAAGAGAGGAGGATGCTGAGCTTGTTCCTGAACTGAACCTATTGAAGAATGTGTTCAGTTCATTGGCTCTGTCCAGGCTTCCATCCTTCTGATCCTCCTTCTGCTTGAAGCCTGTGATCTGTTTCATCCCTGACCACACCTCTCTGATATTGTTCTGTTGGAGCTTGCTCTCCAGCTTCTTCTTGTACACCTCCTTGCTGTTTCTTATCTTGACTTTAAGTTGCTTCTGTGTGCTCTTCAATAATTCCCTGTCTCCCTCCCTGAAGGCTCTTTTTTTTCTGGTTTAGCAGTTCCTTCAGAAAAAAAAAAAAAATTATATCAGAGAAGAATTTTGATTTAGCAGCTTTTACTGCTTTCTGATAACGGCGCCAACTCTCTTTAAGTATCTGGAAAGAGACCTGCAGCCTGTCTTTCCTCCACTTTTGTTCTGCCCTCCTACATTGCTGCCTAACGGCCTTGGTGACGTCACTCAGCCAAGGTTCTGCTTTGATTTTTGATTTTTTGGTTTTAACAGGTGCGACATGATCCATGGTCTTTAAGCAGACAGAGTTGAACTGGGATGTCAGCTCCTCAGTGGTGGTGAGAAACCCTGGGGCCTGAATGATCATTTCAGAGTTATAAACATCTGTAAAACGTGTGGCAGTGAAGTGGTTAATGGTCCGAGTCCTACGTGCAGGAGTGCACGACTTAGGAGTTAGATGCGGGAGGGTGAACTCAAACCGGACTGGCATGTGGTCTGAGAAAACATTATCACCAATAACAAGATTATTAACAGTCATATCATGAGTTAAAACAAGGTCCAGTGTATGTCCACACTCTTGGGTGGGACCGTTTACATGCTGAGTTAAATTAAATGAGTCCAATAAATCTAAAAAGTTCTTAACCAAGGGCTTCTCCTGACAGCACACGTGCAAATTAAAGTCCCCAATAATGAAAACATGCTCATATTTTGGTGTGATTTCAGCCAAGAAGTCAGAAAATTCATTTATGAAATCCTTCGACCAAGGTGGGCGGTAGATGAGTGCAAATAACGACGCAGGTGAATGTCCGAGTTCAAAGACGCTCAGCTCAAAGCTGGCACGGGAAACTGGGATGGCCAGTTGTTTACAGTCAAAAGTTGATTTGAATATTGTTAATAATCCACCACCGCGCCGGGCTGATGGCCGCGGGGCATTAAAACACAGACAGTTCGGTGGCAGTATATCCGTCAAGGCGCTAGACTCACCCGGAGACATCCAAGTCTCTGTGATGCACAGAAAGTCCAAATCATGCTCTTGAAAGTAATCCCTGAGGATAAAAGTTTTGTTGGTAACAGATCTTGCGTTGACCAAACACATCCGGATATTGTCCCAAGTGGAGCTAGCAGCGGTGGAGTTAGCACGCGCTAATGGCCGCAGGTTTTCAATAACAGTCCCTCCAGGTCGGTCCGAGCTGCGCACCAGCTGACAACTCACGTTTGTTAACTGGTCCGGGCACACAGGAGAGGAAGATGCAGCGCACAGAGCTTTCAGCTTCAGCAGCTGACCAGCACGTTTTCCCCGGCGTCTGAAGCGATATATCCGGGCAGGGAGGTGAGGAGCGCAGCAAAGGTAAGCTGGCATGTCCGCCAGCAGAGGGGTAGGAGGGGTTGGGGGGTCCAGAGGTACGCTGGTAATGGTCCAAATAAGCGACTTCAGTGACAGAAAATCGAAGATTCAAAAGTTGTTGTTTGTCATACACCAGCAGAGAGTTGATGTCACAAATGAGAAATGCAGAAACCAAAAATAATCTGAACACCATCAGCAGAGGTGGATTGTAAGCCATTTACACGGGCGCCATCTTACCGGAAGTCAACTTTCTGTTCAGGGGCAATGATCAGGGTTTCCGTCTTGTTAGAATTTAACCGAAGGCAGTTGTTAGCTAACCACGCCTTAATATGGGAAACACAGTTTACTAATTCAGCTAACGTATGTAATTCTGAGTCATAAAAGGAACAGTATAGTTTAATATCATCAGCATAGAGATGGTAAGACACATTTCTAAAGCTACTGATAATCTTTCCCAGGGGAGTGATGTATAGAAGGAACAGAATAGGACCCAAAACTGAACCCTGAGGAACACCATACAATAACGGAGTGGTCTTAGACTGTATGTTATTAACAAACATTGAAAAGGTTCTGTTACTCAGATAAGAGGAAAACCACTTAAGAACAGTTCCAGAAAATCCCATCTCATGTTGCAGTCGATGTAGCAGAATTTTGTGGTCGACTGTGTCAAAAGTTGATGATTGATCCAATAAAATCAAAACACTGCTCTGACCAGAGTCTGCAGCCATCAATATGTCATTGGAGACTTTTAATAAGGCAGTTTCGGTGGAGTGCATCTTGTGGAAACCAGATTGAAACTTATCAAGAATATTATTATTTTTCAAGAAAGTAGTCATCTGCCCAGCCACTAACTTCTCCAGAATGTTGGTGAGAAAAGGCAGTTTTGATATTGGCCTGTAGTTGCAAAGCTCAGTGAGGTCCAAGTTGGGCTTTTTCAAGATCGGATTTAAAATTGTTTGTTTCAAAAAACTTGGAACTGACCCGGTTGAAAGAGCTATGTTAATTAATTCTGCCACATGGGGGCTGACAATATCAGACACCTTTAAAAACAGTGGTGTGGGTGCAACATTAGCACGCAGGAAGAAGGTTTGAGCTTTTTTAGAACAACCTTCACATCCTCTAAAGTCACAGGTGAAAATGAAGACCAGGGGCTCACTGTAGGGACAGAACTGGGGGTGACACCAAGAGCTGATTTAACACTTGCCCTGATATTGTCAACCTTTTCCACAAAATAGTTTAAAATGTCTTGTCACCCTGGCACTAACCGCATGATCTCTTTCATTAAAAGACATTTCTGGTGGCCCTCGATTCACCAAGACATGAAGGACTTTGTTGCTGCATGTTTCACCTGTGCTCATAACAAAAGTGGTAATCAACCCCCAGCAGGTTTGTTACAGCCCCTTCTTACTCCCAGTCACCCTTGGTCTCATATTGCATTGGACTTTGTCACTGGTTTACCTCCATCAGAGGGCAACACTGTGATACTCACTGTAGTGGACAGGTTCTCTAAGGCTGTTCATTTTATTCCCCTTGTCAAACTTCCTTCCGCTCTGGAGACAGCCCACCTGTTAACCTAGCACGTGTTTCGGATCCACGAAATCCCTACTGACGTCGTATCTGGCCATGGGCATCAGTTCACATCCCAGGTATGGCAAGCTTTTTGCAGCACCCTTGGAGCCACATCCAGTATGACATCAGGCTATCACCCTCAATCTAACGGTCAATCTGAACGTTGCAACCAAGAGCTAGAGACCGCCCTGCGTTGTGTCATCGAAGATAACCCATCCTCTTGGAGTAAACATCTCTTGTGGGTAGAGTATGCGCACAACACCCATACTTCTTCTGCCACTGGATTATCTCCTTTTGAGGCTTCTCTGGGTTATACCCCACCACTGTTTCCAAGTCAAGAAACTGAAATATCTGTTCCTTCTGTCCAGCACCTTTTCCGTCGCTGCCGCAGAATTTGGTGCCAAACTAAGGCTGCGCTCTTACGTACTGCCAACCGGAACAGGAAACATGCTGATCACCACCTCTCTCTAGCCCCCAAGTACCAAGTAGGTCAAAGGGTTTGGCTTCCCACCAGAGACATTAAAATAAAGACACCCCCAAGAAACTCTCTCCTCGTTTCATTGGTCCGTTCCCCATCATCAAGATAATCAACCCGTCTGCGGTACGTCTTAGACTGCCTTCCTCCATGCATATTCACCCCACTTTTCTTGTATCCCAAATCAAACCAGTCTCAGAGTGTCCCTTGAACCCACCTTCCGACCTCCCTCCACCCCCCCGTCTCATCGACAATCATCCCGCCTTCACTGTTAGACGTATTCTGGATGTGAGATGTCGAGGGCGGGGGTTCCAGTACTTAGTAGATTGGGAGGGTTACGGTCCGGAGGAAAGATCATGGATCCCAAGATCCTTTATTTTGGACCCCTGCCTAATCTCTTCCTTTTTCAGGGCCCACCGTGAGAAACGCCTAAGGTCGCCAAGAGGCGATCTTTGAGGGGGAGGTTCTGTACGGGTTTTCGGTGTGTTCTCTCCACAGACTCTTGAGCTCCTGCAGCAGAGTTAATCACGCTCAGCTGCTGGCCATTTCCCTAATTACCTCCAGGACTATATGAGGCTGCAGGCTTGCTTCATCCATTGCCGGAGCATATCTTGTTGAGGGTAGTTGTGCTCCTGGCCTTTCAAGTGTTTAGATATATTTTGAAATACTTACATGTGTGTCTTCTTCGTTTCTGACAGACCTTGGTTTTTCCTGCGCCTCCAGTCCTGGACGTTTCATGCATACCTGTGGATTGGTCTGTACTTATGTAAAGGAACATATATCTGTGAGATATTATCCATAAATTAAACGGATTCTTTCATTTTTCTGGACTGAGTTCTATCGTGCATTGAATAATTAAATGTGACGTGAGACGTTAATTTTCTTTGACCCATCAAAATGCATGCGGTCATTTATTAACAGAATCAAAGTTTAACATCAAACATTTACATTAATTTGGCAATTTGATTACGATAACAGCTTAATTAATTAGCTTTACAATCAGAGACCATACGGCCATGGTATCTGCTTGCAGCTTTACAACAGACATTTCTGAGAATATCTGGACTAATTACTGGCAAGATAGAAGAGTTTTAAAGATGGGGAATGAAGGAGTTAAATGGAGAAAAAATGTGTGTGAGAAATGTGTGTTGAAGAAGAACGACAGCACTCTCCATTCGAACCCAGCTTTCCTCGGTACACTTGCAGTTGAAGATCGACTCTTTACCTTGGCAGAGGATAATTCCGACTTCGGTGTAGAGTTGCCTTTCAACGCTTTTCCAGCGTCTCCGTAGGATGGTTGGAAAACGTCCGGAGTAGTGACGCTACTTCGTTCAGCATACGTTCACCTCACGGGTGGACTCACATGAGGAGTAAGTCCGTCAGAGGCTCCACTCAGATGTGGAAGATTCCATAATCCCCACGAGACTCGGAACTTTGTTCTGCGTTCTGCGTTCCGAACTGCATTCTCCGTTCTACATTCCAGCATTCTGCATTCTCGCATTCTCTCTGGAACTAGGAAGTGTTGAACCTTTTAAAGAGGTCACTTCCGGTTCCTCTGAGAACTTCCTGATTGGTTGATCGACCGAACAGGGGGTGGTTTTAGTGATGTAAGAGGTTATTAAAAGTCAAGGAAAAAGATTAGATTGTTTTAAGAACAGACTGTAAATGTTTTGAAGAACCCGAGACTTTTGGGAGTCAGTTCTACTTCTATCTGTCAGAAAAAGTTAAACATGACATTTCTTTCCAGTAAACATGTAGTTGACCGAAACTTGACTTTTGACCGACTTACAACCTCATTTCAGACGGAAAATCAAAATGCATAATTACTCTTGTAACAAACATTAACTTGATTTCTACTTTGAATGAGGATTAAAAATCATTAATACTGTTTCACAGTTGATTTAAAATAAGTAGTTCACTTCAACATTTGAAAATGGTTTGAACTAAACACACTTTGATTATCAAGACATTTGTAAAATAGTAATGATAATAAAAAAGAGAGTGTTCTTTCAATTGATCAGTGCAGGACACACTTAGAAAGTCTCTGGATGGACTTGATTTTGTGTTTCTGGACTCAAATCAATGAAATACAGTTCTTGTCCCAGGAAGGCCCTCAAAGTCAGGATTTGACCTGAGGCTTAGTTCACTACACTTACCTGAGCTTAAGTTTCTCCTCGTGGACTCCAGCCAAACTACTACCCCTCCTGCCTCGACCTCCACGCTCCACCCGTGCATCGACCTCTTGCTGGAATTTTTATTCATTATATATCCACCCTTTGTCACCCCACCTGTCATTTACAGTAAGAGGAATATTATTATTTCCCGTCCATAATATCATCCATCCTCCAACCAATAAGACACTAATCGTCTCCCCTTTCCCTTCCAGGGGTTTTCTAGTTTCAGCTCCTGTGAATATAAGACTGTTTATTGTTATTATTATCACTGTAAAATAAATCACCCTTCTATTTATGATCCGCAGTCTGTTGTCCTTCAGTCCGTTTTTTCTGGGTACACTCCGCCATTATGACACCCCCTCTGCAGAATGTCTATGTCACTATGTGCTTGTTTGTGCGAGGTGTTTTTTAATATTAGTTTTTCTTCTCAGCCAAGAAGAAAAAGTCTGATAGGAATTTTTTCGCCTCCAATTCCTACGTGTCCAGTTTCACTACTTTTTTGTCTGTCTAAACAGATCTCACTTGTAAATGAGTTTTCTAGGCTTAATGTGATTTATCTGTCTAAATAAAGGTTGAATTATTATTTTTTCTGTTAGTCTTTCCAAATGTGTCCCTACTTGATGGAAATATATAATTTATTTTTAAGGAAATAATTTAAATGATCTGAATGATAATTTGCCGGAGCAGGCTGGAGAATAGAACTCTTTATGCTACCACATCACACTGCCCTTCAATCTGAGGATCAGAGATGCAAAATAACCAAAGTGCATAGTTATTTAAGGGGTCATTCTCATGTATTTCGTATGTGGAAATGCATAGGGGATTTCTGGGTATCTTTGTTATATAGGTGGTGTTGCCACTTTTTTCTATTATTTTATTTTTCCTTGTTTTTTCTCACTGTTATTGCTGCTTGCTTGGGTAAAATCTGTAGTATTTCCATCTTCCATAGTATGCTGCATCTTATAATTGATTTAATATTAAATGATAGGTAAATCAATTATTAAGGTCACATAGTGGAATGTCAGAGTGATGAATAAAATAGTGAAATTAAAACAGGTACTAGGCAGGATTAAACTACTTAATTCTCAAATTATTTTTCTGCAGGAGTCACATCTGACAGATGTAACTAGAGTTAAAAAAAGGCGACATGGACAAGATTTTTCTGCCCCATTTAACTCTTAAACTCGAAGTAGTATTATGATTCACAAATCAATCCCATTAAGGCTTAACCAGGAATTAACTGATCCAGCTGGGAGATATATTATATTGCAGGGAACAATATTAGAAACCCAAATCACACTGGTCAATATTTATGGACCTAATGAGGATAATCACTCCTTTTTAGGGAGTCTTTTTCTTACCATATCTACCATGCCTGGAAAATATATAATTTGTGGTGACTATAATTGTGTGCTAAACCCCACTAACAACTGGCATTGATACTTCTCATCTTCATGCCAGAAAAATCTTGATACAGTTTATAGATGATCTTAACTTAATTGATGTCTGGAAGAAACTACACCCTAACAGAAAGGAGTTTTCATGTTATTCAAGTACTCATAAAACATCATCACGCATTGACTACTTTTTGATCTCCATGAGTCTACTACCTCAGGTAGAAGAATGTAGTTATAATAGAATAGTTCTATCTGACAATGCTCCCATCTCTTTAACTCTTTGTATACCAAGGCTTATACAATGTCCCCCTGGATGGCGCTTTCAAACAAAATGGTTACAAGACCCCAAATTTATTCAATTTCTTGGTGATAACATTGACATATATTTTCAGATAAACATAGATCAAACTAGTGCAAGTGTAAAATGGGAATCTTTTAAAGGTTACATTAGAGGTATGATCATAAACTATACAAGTTTTAAATCTAAGCTTAATTTTAATGAATTAATCAATCTTGAGACTCAGATTAAAGTTTTGGAGTTGGATGTATATCAAAATGATAGTCCAGAGAAATATAAAGAGCTTTTGCTGTTGAGAACTAGCTACAGAGAGCTTTCTACTAACAAAATTGCAGCAAATCTTTGGTTGAAACAATCTTTTTACGACCAAGGTGTCAAAGCAGGCAAACTTCTTGCATGGAGAATTTAAAAAAATGCAAACAGATAGAGCCATAAACTCAATTAAATTAGAAAATGGAAACATGGAAATAGAGCCATTTGCAATTAACTCCTCCTTTAAAACATTTTATAAATCACTTTATCAGAATATCCAAAAACCACGCAGTTACAGACTGAATTCTTAGACCAATTAAATATCCCAACTATAAAAGATCAAGATAAGATTGAATTGGATAAACACATAACGGTTAAGGAAATGTCAGAAGCTATGCGGAACATGAGTGGGAAAACCCCAGGGCCGGATGGGATCCCTGTTGAGATTTATAAATTGTTTCCAGAAAAATTACTCCCTCCATTACTAGAAGCATTTGAAGAGGCATATGAATCAGGAATCCTGCCCCAACCTTACAGTCTGCACTAATTACCTTGGTTCCAAAGCCTGGCAAACCACCAACAGAAAGAGGATCTTATCGCCCCCTATCTTTAATGTGCTGCGATACTAAGATATTATGCAAAGTTTTGGCCAGAAGACTAGAGTTGTGTGTTCCGCCCCTAATTTTTAACAATCAGAATGGTTTTATTCCTGGGCGTCAGGCATTTCATAATATATGTAGAGTATTGAATATATTACATGAAAGGCGTGATGCAAAAGATAACGCAATCCTGTCACTGGACGTCGAAAAAGCATTCGACAGGATTGAATGGAAATATTTAATTGGGGTCTTGACAAGGTTTAGGATGGGAGAAAAATACCTTAAATGGGTGAAACTTTTATATACAGAACCAACAGCGGAAATAATCAATAACATATCAAACATTTTAGTCTTTACAGAGGCACGCAACAAGGTTGCCCTTTGTCTCTTTTATTTTTGTTTGCTATTAAACTCCTGGCCTTCCAACAGGATTCAAAAAAATCTCTGGTGTTACAGCACGCCACCTAGTGGACATGAGATGGCCTCTACACCTTTTTCTGTGCACCAGCGCTGGAAAGCTGTCCACTTTCATGTGTATAGCGCTGTGGTGGAAGCATCTCATGAGTCTTGGATTGTGCGCACCACTTCTTGAGAGAAACCCATTTTCTCTAAGTGGATCCACTCAGCGGCCAGACCTAAAGGTGTTGGCCTATTTCTGGGTTACTCATAATCTCTCCTCCCGACTGGAGGAGAGCATCGTCCCTGCACGGCAG